ATGGACTGCTGACTCTGGCTTTTGTAAGACATGTTGAGTTCATGGACTGCTGACTCTGGCTTTTGTAAGACATGTTGAGTTCATGGACTGCTGACTCTGGCATTTGTAAGACATGTTGAGTTCATGGACTGCTGACTCTGGCTTTTGTAAGACATGTTGAGTTCATGGACTGCTGACTCTGGCATTTGTAAGACATGTTGAGTTCATGGACTGCTGACTCTGGCTTTTGTAAGACATGTTGAGTTCATGGACTGCTGACTCTGGCTTTTGTAAGACATGTTGAGTTCATGGACTGCTGACTCTGGCATTTGTAAGACATGTTGAGTTCATGGACTGCTGTCTCTGGCTTTTGTAAGACAAGTTGAGTTCATGGACTGCTGTCTCTGGCTTTTGTAAGACATGTTGAGTTCATGGACTGCTGTCTCTGGCTTTTGTAAGACATGTTGAGTCCATGGACTGCTGTCTCTGGCTTTTGTAAGACATGTTGAGTCCATGGACTGCTGTGGAATGTAGGAGATCTGGCATTTGTAAGACATGTTGAGTCCATGGACTGCTGTGGAATGTAGGAGATCTGGCTTTTGTAAGACATGTTGAGTCCATGGACTGCTGTGGAATGTAGGAGATCTGGCTTTTGTAAGACATGTTGAGTTCATGGACTGCTGTGGAATGTAGGAGATCTGGCATTTGTAAGACATGTTGAGTCCATGGACTGCTGTGGAATGTAGGAGATCTGGCTTTTGTAAGACATGTTGAGTCCATGGACTGCTGACTCTGGCTTTTGTAAGACATGTTGAGTCCATGGACTGCTGACTCTGGCTTTTGTAAGACATGTTGAGTCCATGGACTGCTGTGGAATGTAGGAGATCTGGCTTTTGTAAGACATGTTGAGTCCATGGACTGCTGTGGAATGTAGGAGATCTGGCTTTTGTAAGACATGTTGAGTCCATGGACTGCTGTGGAATGTAGGAGATCTGGCATTTGTAAGACATGTTGAGTCCATGGACTGCTGTGGAATGTAGGAGATCTGGCATTTGTAAGACATGTTGAGTCCATGGACTGCTGTGGAATGTAGGAGATCTGGCATTTGTAAGACATGTTGAGTCCATGGACTGCTGTGGAATGTAGGAGATCTGGCATTTGTAAGACATGTTGAGTCCATGGACTGCTGTGGAATGTAGGAGATCTGGCTTTTGTAAGACATGTTGAGTCCATGGACTGCTGTGGAATGTAGGAGATCTGGCATTTGTAAGACATGTTGAGTCCATGGACTGCTGTGGAATGTAGGAGATCAGAGAATCCCTAATACTTTCTCTTTATAAATAACGTGTAGCTGACCGTTTACTTTACCCAATACGGTTTTGGCTTTGTTTTCTGTGGGGTAAAAATAGCTGTGTTTAAGTTATCGGTTATGGTGGGATCCAGGCAATGGTTATAATTGTATCCAGGCAACGGTTATGGTGGTATCCTGGCAACGGTTATGGTGGTATCCAGGCAACGGTTATGGTGGTATCCTGGCAACGGTTATGGTGGTATCCTGGCAACGGTTATAATTGTATCCAGGCAACGGTTATGGTGGTATCCAGGCAACGGTTATGGTGGTATCCAGGCAACGGTTATAGTGGTATCCAGGCAACGGTTATGGTGGTATCCTGGCAACGGTTATAATTGTATCCAGGCAACGGTTATGGTGGTATCCAGGCAACGGTTATGGTGGTATCCAGGCAACGGTTATAGTGGTATCCAGGCAACGGTTATGGTGGTATCCAGGCAACGGTTATGGTGGTATCCAGGCAACGGTTATAGTGGTATCCAGGCAAAGCGTGTTAACTCTGAATCCTGAAATGCACTAAAACAAAATCTTTCTCGCCTGTCACATATAAAACTTATACTGGGTTAAGTAAGAGTCGGTGGTACATCAGCTGTGGTGTCTCTGCCCCTGGTGTCTCTGCCCCTGGTGTCTCTGCCCCTGGTGTCTCTGCCCCTGGTAAGATAATACACATCTGCCCCCTGGTAAGATATTATACATATCGACCCCCTGGTAAGATGTTATACATATCTGCCCCCTGGAAAGATAAGCCTTATATTTGCCCCTTGGTAAGATATAATTCATGTCTGCCCCCTAGTAAGATATAATTCATATCTGCCTCTTGGTAAGATATAATTCATATCTGCCCCCCTGGTAAGATATGCATCATATCGTGCAACTATCACACTTGTAAGAAATAGATGAACTAATTTTCAAAAGTTTATTCATGTCATATAAAAAATTTATTGATTGTGAAATGATTTTATTGGTCATCTAATGTACTTTGTATCTTTCAAATACTACCAACTACCACAAGAAATATCCCCTTATGCATTAGAAGTAGCGGTCCTATAATGAAATAACTGCAGACAGAATGTATCGTTCATATAATGCATGTATGGTTTAGGTCATGAAATCTTCATTCAGTTCATAAAAAGGTCATTTAGGCCACGAAATGTTCATTCAGTTCATAAAAAGGTCATCTATATCATGAAATGTGATGTATGCAAAAATTTGACTTTGTGTAATAAAATATGACCATTTTTTCTAAAAACTTTCTTTGTTTTGTGTTTGTTTGTATGAAAAATTGGCGTGTTACAAGTTGTTACAACTGGATTTGTAAAAATAATTCATAAAAATGTATTAATCCTTATGCTTTAAGGCACCTCATCATTAGGAACTTGTTCACCAGCCACCTCTTTACCAGGCACCTCTTCATCATTGTGGGGGCCCATTTTTTAAATCATTCCATTTAGTTCTTTGTCTGGCAATGAGAGAGCGGACACTCTGGCGAAAACCGACCGGGGCTGCCCAGCCTCAGCCAGAAGTACCAATGACTTTTTTGGGAATTAAAAACTGGCTGGCGGACCACTTCAGGCAGAAGTGGTACAGGCAGTGGGCTGACAACACGACCGCCAGAGGCGTCTATTCAAACTTGCCCACTCCTAGCAAACAAGCATGGTGGGGGTTGGGACGCAGATCGCAGAGTTTAGTGACGCAGATGCGCACCGAGCACTGCCCCTTGCGCGCATATTTCTGGCGGCTGGATAACAACAGAGATCCTACCTGCCGGCATTCCAACCTGGCCCCGGAGACCCTAGAGCACCTGTTGACCGAATGTCCCTCACTAGATCTCCCGGGGGAAGCCAGGGCGGTTGGAGGATCCTTTGTGGGGGAAATGTTGTATGGCTCAGCTCAACAGATGGAGTTGATAGCCAATTTACTAGCCGGGGTCATAAGAGAGTCATCTCAGACCCTCACCAGAATATGTGTGTTAGTGATCTCAGACCCTCACCAGAATATGTGTGTTAGTGATCTCAGACCCTCACCAGAATATGTGTGTTAGTGATCTCAGACCCTCACCAGAATATGTGTGTTAGTGATCTCAGACCCTCACCAGAATATGTGTGTTAGTGATCTCAGACCCTCACCAGAATATGTGTGTTAGTGATCTCAGACCCTCACCAGAATATGTGTGTTAGTGATCTCAGACCCTCACCAGAATATGTGTGTTAGTGATCTCAGACCCTCACCAGAATATGTGTGTTAGTGAGTTCTTTGTCCATACAGAATAGGGTTGCGAGGAGATCGAACGTAAGGCCAATCAAATCTTCTTCTTCAGCCTCATGTTCCTTTCCATCTTCTTCTACAGCTGACTGATAAGCGGCAGCTCCTCCAGGCCTTCGTCCGTCAACGGTTGTGAGCGGCAGCTCCACCAGGCCTTCGTCCGTCAACGGTTGTGAGCGGCAGCTCCTCCAGGCCTTCGTCCGTCAACGGTTGTGAGCGGCATCTCCTCCAGGCCTTCGTCCGTCAACGGTTGTGAGCGGCAGCTCCTCCAGGCCTTCGTCCGTCAACGGTTGTGAGCGGCAGCTCCTCCAGGCCTTCGTCCGTTAACGGTTGTGAGCGGCAGCTCCTTCAGGCCTTCGTCCGTCAATGGTTATGAAGGGCATCAATAAGATCATAAATTTCATTTACCTTCAACAACAAAAAAAAAAAAAAAAAAAAAAAAAAAAAAACCTTTTTTTTAAAAAA